GGAATATTCGTATTAATCTTACTTAGTATTAAGGAAACGTAAATCCGAAAAATACCGCGCACATTGTATTTCTTGACTTTGCAAAAGCCTTCGGCACAGTACCCTACGCACTGCTAATCGCGATTTGTGGAACGCTTATTATTCTTAAATTGTAAGAGGCAGTTATCGACTTCATATCGGTATCTAGTTGATTGATTTTCTGCCCATTATCACGAAATTTAGGCCCCAAGGACAAAGCTTCTAAGCGTAATACATCAAGTTCAATATCCAAAAACTTATGTACATACCGAGTCGGATCAAGAGGAAGTTTGTTTTCTGGTTTTCGGTTTTGCACAGTTTTCACCAGTTTTTTTCATTGTCTTCTCAAATCTGTTCTTAGAAACTTTTTCGACATTGTCCATAAATATTTATTTAGTTGGCTGGTTGGTTAGTTACTTATTGAGGTAGTTAATTAGTTAGTAAGTTCGTTAGAAAGTTAGTAGGTTAGTTAGTTGGTTAGTTACTGAGTTAGTTAGGTAGTTATTTAGATAGTTAGTTAGTTAGTTAGTTAGTTAGTTAGTTAGTTAGTTATTATGAATAGTAGGATTATTCTTGTAGCTCAACAGATCTGAACATACACTCTATGCTTTTTTGCACAAATTACAAGGTGCATTGAGAGCAATAAAACGAGTGTTCATGCAAATAACAATTTGGGCAATAAAAGAATAAAACATTCGTGTGAAATTTAAATATAAATTAGTCATTTTTTATAAATTATGATAGAACATTCTTCTCACAGTTCTATCAAAACATTCGTATGCATTATTTAGTCTAATGTGTGAAAATAATGTCTGATAATTGGTTCACTGTTTATGAGTAAGATAATGCAATAAATCGCAGAAATGTATGTAGGACGAAATATATCGAAATTACATAAAAATTAACTGAATACGACTTTGTACTGGACGGTCAATTAAAATAACTAATTATTCGGTTATTATTTTGATCTTATCAGGGCTTCCTAATTTTCACTGAATATCTAGTTAGGATCAATATTTCTGCAAATTTTAACACGGCACCAATCACAGGAACTACTCAAGGTATATATAAATGTTTATCGATAATGTTGATACACGCTGTCGGGTGTAAGCAGTGACTACCAGAGACAAATGAATGAGGTCGCGCAAAATCTGTAGATTGGTCAGGTTTACAGAATACCACCGTTGGATGTCGGCCGGACATGTGTTGCAGCGGTCAGGCGTTTGCTCACCTCACAAGACCGAAGCTGCTTCGTTCGAATCCTGTGAGATTTGGGATTTGTGGATGCGCACAGCTGATGAGTCCCATACTAGGTCAGTGCTTCAAGGTTTCTAACAATGGTCTAATAATGATTGATTGATGATTTCGATGAGTAAAAACACTGATCTGCATAGATTTTTATATATATATGGAGGTGGTGTTTCGTTCTGTGAGCTGGATGTTTCGGTTGTGCAGCTTTCATTGTTCTTCTGAATAACATTATCAGCACAGACTTTAGATGGAAGTGAAGTATTGGAATTTCGCCACGTTTCACCTGTAGCTTGTTCTGCAAACCTCAATCTTGATTGGTTGCTGTTGACCTTAATCCTGTTGTTGTTATCACCTTTGTTTTGACTGAATCCCCATTTCGCTCTGTTTCTTGATCCTACGGTGTTTTTCACAGTCTGAGCAATTTATTTTGTAGATGATATTTGGTTGTTCTTCCTTTGTCATTTTCCTTTGGTCTACATAGGATCGCTTAAAGTGATTCTGTTGGTTTGTGTGCCACACCTATTGCAAATGGTTTCAGTAGTCGTGCTGTGTGCTCCGATATGTCTTCTATGTATGGTAGGATGATCCGTATATTGGTTCCTGCACTTGATTTCATTCACTTCTGTTGACGATTTCGGTTGATGCTTCTTGATGAAAATGCGTGGACAGACGTTCTTTTGGAAGATAGTCACAAGGTGTTTCATATCAGCTCATAGTCGAATGGCTATTTGGCAGTTTACGCACCATAGCCGACACAAACTATGTATGTAACGACTACATTATACACTTTAGTCAGACTCGGAAAGCTTGCCATTGAATGGAAAACTGACCGAAACTAATTTAGGTGGTGTAGCTCCTCCATTTTAAATGGTATTATTGAAAACTGTTACAGATAGAAGCGTAAGATTGCGGAACTTTCTAACTGCATCTCATAGTTTACTTCATATAATAAACATATTTCTGATGCGAACATTGTGGTTGCAGGCCTATTGACTCGTATCGCTTCCATGAATAGCATTCAACTAACAGACTATCAACGACTCACTCACACTCGAAATGACGCTCTTGTGAATTGAGTGATCCAAACACACTCTTCCACCCACATTCAAACAATCCGACAGATCTATCTCACTGACTATTCGACTTCTAGGACAACTTGTCACTACTAAAACAAATGTGGATTCAGACTTCTATGAGAGGTGGCTGACAAACGCAATGCGTTCTGTTAAACCTGCTTGTATTTGATCACAATCAACTGATGTTTTCATTCAACTTACATTGAAACTTGTGCTCACGTTTTCATCCATCACAATGATGTAGTGATTTCACGTTTAGGAAGAAAAACACGACTTGTTAAATAGCAATATTCATTATATTAATCAACTGTGCTAGTTATCGTAATATCAAACATCTATAATTTTATTCCGTTGAACCGTCAAGGACTCAATCTACTGTACCACTGAGAAGAAATTAATTAAAGGCGACATCAACATCGATCGACTAGAAGCCACTCACCTAGTCTTTCATGAAATGTCGACACGCCTCAATGAACACTCAAGCTGCACAAAAGACCTGATAATATTGCAGAACTAGAAAAATTAGTTGTTAAATCAGCAATAGCAGTACATGCTATCTAATATAACCACTAAATCGATATCAAAATATCAACTACTAAGAGAGACATGTAGCTGAAGCATTTCATATAATGCTGCTAATTCGTTATCTGCACGATTCTACTGAGCTCACGTAGTCCCCCGTGGATTTGAATTCCGGTCCATATGTGACTGTTACAGTACGAGCTGGACAGTTCTGGGCATTATCATTTAGCATACACAATCCAATTACTTCTAATTATCATTGCGTCACCCACTATCTCTCCCTCATATGAACGAACGAATTTGTCATGAACATGAACCATTCCTTTAACTACGTATACTACACCTATGCTAAAACGATTTGAATAACGGCGGTAATAAAAAGCCAGATGCGGATTAGGCTGGATGCATTTATTTCGAAAATTCGTTTACTCAGACAAATATTGAGATGAGTAGAGAGAAAAGGAAGTAGAAAAGTTAAGTATGACAAGTCATTTGATAAGGCGTGACTCATTATCTATGACCAGATAAAAGTTAGCTAAAGACATGTGATCATGGATGAACTAAACGATACACACACACACACACCTCTTAATAAAGACAATTACAGTTATAGGCGGATAGTTGACAAGGTCAAAGTGTGACTCAAATAGAATGGATTGATCAGTCTCACCTGAAGCTAAAATAACCGACACTACGATCACGCCGGTGTCTGGATGGAATGAATTTAGTGATTCGAGTTGACCGAATTCTATACTACTTCGAGTACATCAAGCTAGCTATTTACTGACACGAAAGTCATTAACTAATTGTTATTTGTCAAATGGTAACTAGTTGAACATCATCTTTCTTCTTACTATTCTTATTTGCTTATACATATAATGCTTCTGTCGTCAATCATCAGGCAAGTAAATACAGCCAGTTCCTATCCATACACACGGAAATTGCTTTCATTATTGTAACATCACAACAATGTGCTTGATAGTTCCCAATCTGCAGATATTCATCGTTTTAAAACCTTTCAGATTTGCACCTTTAGGTTTCATTTTAATGAACACATGTTCGACATTCGTTCACCCGGATATCAACTATTATTAAAATGAAGTCACAAACACACAAACGATTTTGAGACATGTCATTCAAGGTTTCTAACGATCGATTACTAACATCTCATCGACGCAAACAAGGTAGTCTACATCTACATCTGGCAACATGACTCAGTGACTTCATGGATTTTTGCCATGTTTTGGTTTGGCAAAACTGATTCAGAGATTTATTTCATAGCATACTCGTTCGTTTATAAATACTGGAGCCAGATAATGGGCCAATGAGGTGATGATCCCGACAAACAATTTTACTCAGTGGGCCAACAAAAGCTTCCAAAATTTCATTCAACACTTTAAGCAATCCAAACCCATGGTTATCCCTTTTCATGTAGTCTCATGAAATTTCTAACCTCTTTGTTTGTGTAAACCTTTAAATACGAATAAGATATTTGGTTAATCGAGTATTCTTCCTGTTTGGCCCATCATTAAAATGAGAATGCAGATATACATATATGCGACTTCATAGAATACGAAACAGATAGCATCAAATAAAGCTCTTTATACACTCAATCTCTTCTAATTAGTTTATTCAGGGTGATTAATTCATACGACTTGAGGTTCAATCACTTCTCTTGTAGTGAACGAGAACATAGGTGGGGGCAAACGAATTGTATTTAACGAAAATTACTGAGTTACTCAGTTAAATCGGAAAACCATATCGTCAATCGTTAATTTGCAAAGTATCAGTTCATTCTATCGAACTGGACTGTTCCTGTTGCAAAACATCAATCCAATGTCACTATTCATGCGTTTCATACGAATTCCATTGTTTTCTAACTCTTCCTTTCTTGATCTTCCCCCATCTTCTGCTACCAGACATTACGTTTACACTCACGTCATATATTACTTATAAGTAGCTCACAGCACACTCTAACCTAATAAGTTTTTTTTGTAAAAAATTAATATGAATATAAAATTGGTTTATTCTCTCATCATCTGAACGAACAGTTTGCGATGTCAGTTTGAACAAAAAAATATAAACAAATTTAACACACATATGTTTCATCATTACAACCAAAATCATAACACAAATTAAAGCTGAAACAAAATTTTATTCATTATCTGATTTTAACAGAACCATAATAATGAAACAATGAATTTTTGTAAGCGTACTTACTCTATCCAATTCAATATACATAGAAACATAAAGGCGAAGAAAACAATGATCATAAAAATAAACAAGCTTAAAATGCATGAGAAACTATCAGTGTTGTGTTTTAAAACTAGTCATGTTAATAACCACAGAAAAAAACATTCAATGCTGTAAAGAAGAAAGAGAAGAAAAGTTTGTCACAGAAATGTAAACTAAATGAAAGTGACTGAATTTGAAAAAGGTAAGTAAATGTAACTAACTCAAAAAAAATTTCAATAAAACGATCATGATTATTTATCAACTAGTGTCAAACACATCATTTACGTTTACCGGTAAATTCTTTTTTCATTTTACCTATCTAACGCTGTCAAAGTCAAACTAATATACTGATTACAATTATTGTGATAGCTGATATTACCTACATTCTGACTTACGTACACATCTCACAGCCATTCTAGCATATTCCGGTGACCAGTGTTCTACATCTATCTTCCTTGTCCTGGTATTCCGTTTCCAGTTCTGTCCAATGTTAGCTCATTCTTCTCATGCCTATCTCTATGCCTCCGCGTAATTTTTATCTTTGCCTTTTACTATCAATGAGTCATGTGATGACTTCTCTTGTAACGTAGTTTCGTGTTTTCCACAATGTATGTCCCTTCAACTTCCACTGGTTCTTCTTGATTTCCTCGTCCGCTGTATTCTGGTTTGTTCTGTAATTATTAAGTAGGTTGTTGCTGAGGCTGTCTGGCCAACGGATCCTAAGTATTTCGTGTTGACAACTGTTAAGGAATACTTGATTCTTCTGGATGATGGCTTTTGTAGTTTTCCAAATTTCGGCTCCATATAATAGAATTTTCTTGTCATTTTTATTGAAAATTCTGCCTATGGTGTCAGTTAAAATTTGTTTTGAATTGCAAGTGTTGTTCAATTGAAGAAATGCAGCTCCCGCTTAACCGATCCGCGCCTTCACATCTGCATCAGATCTACTTTGGTTGTAAATGATGCTGCCCAGATATGCCCACTTGAAACCGAGGCAACATCTCTAATCACGAGTCTCTTCAGTAGTTCCACAAATGTTCTACACACAAACAAACAATTTCACCATTCACAAATATTGATAGGGTTGATATTTCCTATGCACAACTCCATAACAAAAGTGAGTTTTGAGAAAAGCATTTTCAAACGATCATCATTCATTGCAAATTCATATCTGTTTCTTTGACTAACTAACCAATAGAAGAAACTAGAAACTGGGTGAAATTATCTGCCAATCATGAGGAACATTTCAAATAAGAAATGACACATAACAATCATTTAAATTTTTCGCAATCATCATACTTACCAGTTGATCTGGAAAGATTTTTATACGACTTTGTAATATAGGTGAGAGATTTTGTTGAAATCTAGACATTTCTATTGCGTTTCTACCTCCGTCGATTCCTCATTCTCCATCTCAGAGTCTTCTAAATATTTCTGTGACAAATGCATTTCATACATAATTATTTATCAACTAGTGTCAAAGTAAACAACTACATTCTGAGGCTAATACTAATTTCAGAGTCGCCATCAAACAATAAACATACACGAAGTATTACATTCTACACAAATATTGATAGGGCTCATATTTCCTACACACAACTACAAAACCAATATTCACTGCAAATAATCGCGATTGCATTTAACAAAATCACAAATATTCTTCACAAATAACTATTACAATAAATGCACAAACATCAAATGATGCCAATTTAGTATTGACGAAAAGCAGAAACAATCCCTGAATTCTTGTTACTCGCATTTCTCTAAACCATTATCAATCACAGGTTTGTTCATTATTTCACTCTGATGCTGGCTATTACTGTGTTGATTTACGAGATTACTTTCATCCAAAAATTAACATCAACTCTATAAAATACTGGTGTGATATATCGCATCCAATTGTCGATGTACCTGTCTAAACTATATGATAGTTATAAAATAAACCAAAAGTATACAAATTTCGTAAGATTATCGCAATTAACAGTGATACTACTGTCTAACCATCTATCAGATCCTATTAAATAGATATATTTTCTTTGAGTCATGTTTGCAAAGAAGTAGGTTGTGAGAGAACCGATTGCAAAGTATTCAGTTTATATGCTTTTTCATATCTGTTTGTTCGAATATGCAAGAGAAACGAGAAACCCAGGTGACATTATCTGCGAATCCTGAGCGACATTTAAAAATGAGAAATGATACATGAAAAACATTAAAAAGGTTTTGTAATCATCATACTTACTCTGTGATCCTGAATTGTTTGAATAGCGAATATAGATACTCTTGAGAGTAGTCTGAGAATTTTGAGATGATTATTTCGCATTTGCATCTCCGATGATTCCTCTTCCTCTCTCTTAACAAATTGCGATTTTGTCTGAAACGGATAAATTTCATACACAATTATTTACCAAACTGAGTAAACAAAACAAATTCATTTTCTTTTTTGAAAACTTTCTTCAGTCTACCCAATCATTATCACTCACAGGTTTGTTCATTAGTTCACCATGATGCTGGCTATTACTATGTCGATTTACGAGATTACTTTCATCACAAATCGACAACAGCTGTACAACATAATGCATTGAAATACTACTTCAAATTGTCAATGTACACGTACGCGATTGAACAGTGCTAGTAAATATAACATAAAGAACTAGGAAACACAATTCGTGAGATAATTGCAGTTATCAGTGTCACGACTTTCTAACAATCTATCACTATCACTACTTCCTATTGATTAAATGTAATTTCGCACAGTTATGTGTAGTTACAAGTGAGTTTTGAGAAAAGCATTTTCAAACGATCATGATTCATTGCAAATTCATATCTGTTTCTTTGACTAACTAACCAATAGAAGAAACTAGAAACTGATTGAAGTTATCTGTGAAACCTGATCAACATTTCAAATGAGAAATGACACATGAAAATCATTTGCATTTTTCGTAATCATCATACTTACAAATTGATCTTGAACAGTTTTATTAACACTTCCAAATACATTTGGATCACTTCTAAAAGTCTTGGCATATTTCTTTCCACTTTGCCGCTCCGTCGATTCTTCTTCCTCTTTCTGAACACTTTGCGATTTTGCCTGAATCAAATACATTTCGTACATAATTATTTACCAAATTGTGTAAACAAAACAACTTCATTCTTTTTTGAAATCTATTTTCAGTGCGCCTAACAAACACAATCGCAAATGAAGGATTACATCCTTCACAAAAATCGATAGGGCTGATCCTGACTGAAGCTGCTACCTTGACGTGGTGGTCGGGCTTGCCTATCGTGATGAACCAACTGAGCTATATTGGCTGGAACTTATGTTTCTGAAGGTTTTACCATGCCAGGCAGGTCGATTGGAGAACGATGAGACTAAAAGCAGCTACTCAAGTTCTGAGGGCGAAGTCGTACTACTGACTGCAGAGGGGTGTGACAGCAGTAAGGTATTTCCCTCGGACAACCAGCATCTGCAGCGATGCTGCCTTCTCACAAGGAAGGAAGGGTTAGAAAAGGTCGACCCTAAAAATGTTCCACCTCACCATACCTCACGGATTTCCGTCTCCGTCGGTAAGGGTGCCCACTAAGGGCTTTCAAGAGCGGAGCTAATACTCAAAAAGCCTTTCATAAAAAGGCCCGTGGGTAACCGGCCTCAAGCAGTTGTCCCTTGCACTCTGCGGTCACGCAAACAGGTCTCTAAGACCTACGCTAATATACCTTCCTTTTCAGGTTCCTCAAGAAACAACCTTACACGATGTGGGCATCCGGGAAGTGACCTCCGCCCTCATACCCGAAACAGCACACGAGGCCAAATTGGTCCAAATCAAATCCTTCCTGCACTCCCTAATGCGCCTCTTATCTCCATGACTAACTCTTCTAACATACCTTCAGCTCACTGAACTGCTAATGCGAACGATGCGAATTCACGAAACATCGTTTCTGGTTTCCTGAAACCCCGCTCTAGACTACATGTTGGAGCATTTAATGTACGGACATTGTGTCAAATAGGGCAACAGGCATCATTAGCTAGGACTTTAGAATCTCGCTCAATCGATGTATGCTGCGTCTCGGATACGCGCATACAGGATACTAGTAAAATCACTAATCTGATTTCACCTTATCAAAATAAAGAAGCATCCCGATTTACCCTTCGTAAATCCGATAGCCGTGATGCTGCTTCCAGGGGTCTCGCTGGTGTAGGTATAGCGTTGAGTCCTAGGGCAGAATTATCTCTCTTTGACTGGATCCCAGTAGATAGTCGCGTGTACGCTGTCAGATCAAACGGGGCAGTAAGGATTCGGAAAGATAGGGACACTCGTCGTTGCCTCTTCGTCGTATCTGCCTATGAACCCACTGACTGCAGTTCAGATGAGTCTCAAGATGAGTTTTACAGAAAGCTTCCGAACGTCCTCCAAAAAGATAGGCTCTCAGATGTAATAATAATGCCTGGTGACTTTAATGCTCAAGTAGGTAGACTAAGTGAGCAGGAGAGACACCTTGGTGGATGTTATGGTGTCGCGGCTCAGAGAACAGACAATGGCGACCGTCTGTTGCAAATCTGCTCAGATAATCGCCTATTTCTAGCAAACACTAATTTTAAGCATAAGGAAAAACATATTTTGACCTGGCGACCACCGACGTCGTCCCAACGTCGGACCCACCTAGATCACATCGCCATTAGCCACCGATAGAGGCGTTCGATACAGGACTGTCGCTTGTTCTGAGGCACATGTTTAGATTCAGACCATGCCCTAGTGCAAGCTCGTATTTGTTTGAGGCTTACTGGACGTAGGAAAAACACCATAAGGAAGCCTCTTAGGGCTTTACTTAATGATAATCAAGCTAAGAGTGTATTTCACGAGGAACTGGAGAAACAGTTAGGCGACCATTTAAGCGATTCCCATCCGGAGGCACGTTGGAATGATATCAAAAAGGCTGTGGAAACAGAAGTGATATCTGCTAGCAAGGTAAACCATAAGGCTAGGATGAAGCCGTGGATTTCAGTAGCATCCATCGAACTGATGGATGCTCGAAAATGCATCCCACCTGGCTCTGAACATGATGAAGAACGAAGTCAGGTTAGGTGCAGGCTGATAAAAAGCTTACGTAACGACCGTGAACAGTGGTGGGTGGTGAAAGCGAGAGAGATGGAAAAGGCAGCGGCGATAGGCAACAACTGACAACTGGTATTAGGAATCCTAGTGTAAGTGAGACTATCTCAGAAAATGACGGGACTATTATTTATTCTCAATCCAGGAGACTCTACCGATGGGCAGAACACTTTAGGGATCAGTTCAACTGGCCTCGAGCCACTCTTCGGTTACCCACGATCCCCAGTCATCCTGAATGGCAAATCGATTTAAGTCCTCCTAGTCTACATGAAGTTGAGAAAGCTATAGGAAATCTAAAGGGAGGGCGAGCAGCAGGTCCTGATAGACTGGCTCCTGAGATGTTTAAGGATGGTTGTCCAGTTTTAACAGTTAGACTGACCGAGATCTTAGGTAGAATCTGGGAACTGGACGTAATCCTATCTGACTGGTCTCAGTCGCTAAATGTCCCGATCTACAAGAAGGGACAAAAGTTCTCTTGTGACAATCACAGGGGAATAAGTCTAACTAATTAATATCGTTTCTAAATTGTTAGCCTCGATTATACTTAGACGTCTAACTAGAGCTCGTGAAGAGCAGACTAGAGAAAACCAGTCTGGTTTCAGACCTGGACGTGGCTGTATAGACCACATCTTCACACTATGACAGGTCCTGGGACACAGACACACATTTAGACGTCCGACAATAGTGGTGTTCCTGGACCTAAAAGCGGCATTTGACTTAGTGGATCGTGAGGTTCTGTGGCAGTTTCTATCATTGAAAGGTGTAACAAAGAAGTACATTAACCTTATACACGCACTCTACTCGAACACTACTGGTCGAGTGAGAGCTTGTGGTGAACTGTCATCTGAATTCTCTACATCAAGTGGTGTCCGTCAGGGCTGTCCACTCTCTCCATTCTTGTTTAACTTAGTCGTAGACATCCTCTTAGAGTGAACATTAAGCTCGTCAGATGTTTCAGGGGTTGACCTTCTACCAGGAAAATCGCTTACTGACCTAGAATATGCCGATGAAATAGTTCTATTCGGTGAAGACGCTGACAAAATGCAGAGTTTTCTGACAACCATAAGCAACAATGCAAGCATGTTTGGAATGCGGTTTTCTCCCCCGAAATGCAAAATGTTGCTTCAAGACTGGGTTCCATCGGCACCTGAACTAGTGATAGGGAGTGAAGTAGTCGAGCGTGTTGATCACTTCACTTATCTTGGGAGTCTCGTCAGTGCTGATGGTCTGGTGACTGACGAAATCTCAGCGCGGATACAGAAAGCTCGATTTGCTTTTGCCAATTTACGCCATTTATGGTGTAGGCGAGATATCCGTTCGCTAACCAAAGGACGAGTGTACTGCGCAGCAGTTCGCTCCGTCCTACTATATGGATGCGAAACATGGTCGTTAAGAGTACAAGATGTTCGTAGGTTACTAGTATTCGATCATCGGTGTCTCCGGATATCCTGGGACAACCGTATAAGCAATGCTGTCGTTAGGAAACGAGTACTAGGTAAGGATGGCAGATAACGGATAAAGTAGAGAAAATTCATCAGTTGAGGTGGTTGAGACATGTGTTACGAATGCCTAACCACCGACTGCCTCGACGAGCTATGTTTTGTAGTGTAGGAGTAGGTTGGAATAAAGCTAGGGGCGGCCAAACCAAAACATTGCAGAAATCCATGATGTAACTGACAAGTGCACTGAGTCATGTTGGTAGATGTAGACTACCTGGTTGAGATCCGCGAGACGATAGTCACTGATGGTTAGAGACCTTGAACGACAAGGCTCAGAATCGTTTGCAATGAAGCAAGTGCATTCATTCGGTGTGCTCTCTCAAATCCTAATCTTTTAGATTCGTCAGCCCCTCTATCTCTGTCTTTCTAACCTTATCTCACTGAATTATACTTCTTGAATAATATCTTCAAAACCAAGTCTTCTTCATTACCATTAATACCTCTACTATCTCTATAACTGGGGATTGGATTTGACATTTGCGTCTCCGTGCTAATGTGGTATGGCAACATGAACTTATGTACATACGTACGAAGTTCCACGTTGCAACTGACTGACTGACTGATAGGCTTGATATTTCCTACACACAACTACAAAACCAATATTCACTGCAAATAATCGCGATCGTATTTAACAAAATCACAAATATTCTACACAAATAATTATGATAAGTCATGCACGAACATCAAGTGATGCCAATTTAGTATTCACCAAAAGCAGATACAAATCCTGAATTCTTGTTACTCGCATTTCTCTAAACCATTATCACTCACAGGTTTGTTCATTAGTTAACCCTGATGCTGGCTATTACTGTGTTGATTTACGAGATTACTTTCATCACAAATCAACAACAGCTGTACAACATAATGCATTGAAATACTACTTCAAATTGTCAATGTACACGTACGCGATTGAACAGTGCTAGTAAATATAACATAAAGAACTAGGAAACACAATTCGTGAGATAATTGCAGTAACCATTGTCACGACATTCTAACAATCTATCACCACTTCCTATTGATTAAATGTAATTTCGCACAGTTATGTGTAGTTACAAGTGAGTTTTGAGAAAAGCATTTTCAAACGATCATGATTCATTGCAAATTCATATCTGTTTCTTTGACTAACTAACCAATAGAAGAAACTAGAAACTGATTGAAGTTATCTGTGAAATCATGATCAACATTTCAAATGAGAAATGACACATGAAAATCATTTGCATTTTTCATAATCATCGTACTTACAAATTGATCTTGAACAATTTTATTAACACTTGCAAATATATTTGAATCACTTCTAAAATTCTTGGAATATTTCTTCCCACTTCGCATTTCCGTCGATTGTTCTTCCTCTCTCTGAACACTTTGCGATTTTGCCTGAATCAAATACATTTCGTACATAATTATTTACCAAATTGTGTAAACAAAACAACTTCATTCTTTTTTGAAATCTATTTTCAGTGCGCCTAACAAACACAATCGCAAAT